CCAGTACAGAGATGAAACAGTAATCAAAAAGTTCCCAACTAACAGAAGTCCAGGACCAGAGGCTTCACAGATGAATTCTACCAAACATTCAAAGAAGATTTAAAACCTATCCTTCTCAAACTGTTTCAAAAAATTGAATAGACAGAAACACCTCCTAACTCATTCTGAGGCCACCATCACCCTGATACCATAAACAGACGAAGGCAACACACAAAAAAAGAAAATTAAAGGCCATATCTCTGATGAACATGGACACAAAAATCCTCAACAAAATATTAGCAAAATGAATGCAATGATACATTGCAAGGATAATACATCATGATCAAGTGGGATTTATTCCAAGGTTGCAGAAATGGTTCAACAACCACAAATCAATCATCATGATACATTACCATAATAAAATGAAGGCTAAAAACCACATAATTATCTCAACAGATGCAGAAAAAGCATTTGACAAGATTCAACATCCATTTATAATAAAATTTCTTAATAAAGTAGGTATAGAAGGAATATACTTCAATAAAGGCTATACACGACAAACTCACACCTAACATCATACTCAATGGTGAAAAACTGGAAGTTGTCTCTCTAAAATTAGGACCAAAACAGGAATGTCAACTTTCATTACTCTTATTCAACATAGTGTTGGAAGTCTTAGCCAGAGCAATTAATAAGAAAAAGAAATAAAAGAGATCCAAATTGGAAAGGAAGAAGCAAAAGTGTCATTATTTGCAGATGAAATGATTTTATATATAGAAGACCCTAAAGACTGCACCAAAAACTATTAGAAATAATACACAAATATAGTAAAGTTTCAGGATACAAAATCAATATACAAAAATCTCTTGCATTTCTATGTGCTAACAAGTTAGCCACAAGAGAAATTAAGAAAACAATCCCATTTACAATCATAACAAAAAGATAAAATACCTAGGAATAAACTTAACCAAGGAAGTGAAAGACCTGAACATTGAAAACTATGACACTCTTGAAAGAAACTGAAGACACAAATAAATGCAAAGATATTCTACACTCATGGACTGGAAGAATTAACATTGTCAAAATAACCATTTTACCTAAAGCAATCTATAGATTCAATGCAATCATTATCAAATTCCCAAGGACATTTTTCACATAAATAGAACAAAAAAATTCTAAAATTTTTATGAAACCACAAAAGGCCCTGAATAGCCAAAGTAATCCTGAGAAAAAAAGAACAAAGCTGGGGGTATCACAGTCCCTGATTTCAAACTATATCACAAAGCTGTAGTAATCAAAACAGCATGAAACTGGTAGAAAAACCAGGTACATAGATCAACAGAACAGAAATGACAGCCCAGAAATAAACCCACACATATATGGACAATTAATTTATGACAAAGGAGAAAAAAACATACACTGGAGAAAAGACAGTCCTTCAATAAACAGTATTGGGAAAACTGGACAGCCACATGCAAAAAAATGAAACTAGACCATTATCTCACATTATACTTAAAAATCAACTCAAAATGGATTAAAGACTTGAATTTAAAACCTGAAACCATAAAACTTCTAGAAGAAAACTTTGGCAGCATGCTCTTTGACATCAGTCTTAGCAATATCTTTATAGATATATCTCGTCAGGCTAGAGAAACAAAAGCAAAAATAGATAAATGGTACTACATCAAACTAAAAAGCTTTTGCACAGCAAAGAAAACCACCACCACTAACAACAAAAGATGATTTACCAAATGGGAGAAGATATTTGCAAGCAGTGTACCTGACAAAATACATAAAAGCTCATACAACTCAACAGCAATAAAAAATGCAACCCAGTTAAAAAATGGTCAGAGACACTGAATAGACATTTTTCCAAAGAAGACATACAGATGGCCGACAGACACATGAAAAGATTTTCTGCATCATTAATCATCAGAGAAATGCAAGTCAAAACCATAATGAGATAGCACCTCACACCTGTCAGAATGGCCATCATCAAAAAGACACGGAATAACAAGTGCTTGGTGAGGATGTGGAGAAAAGGGAACCCTCGTGCCCTGTTGGTGGGAACGTAAATTGGTGCAGCCACTATGGAAAACAGTATGGAGATTCCTCAAAAAATTAAGAATAGAACTACCATTTGATCCAGCTATCCCACTTCTGGGTATTTATGCAAAGAATATAAATGCACTAATTCAAAAAGATATCTGCACTCCCGTGTTCATCGCAACATTATTTACAATAGACTATGGAAGCAAGCTAAGTGTCCATCAACAGATGAATGAATAAAGAGGATGTGATAGACACACACATGCATACACACACACACAGTGGAATATTACTCAGCCATAATAGATGAAATCTTGCCATTTGTTGCAACATGGATGGACCTTCCTCTGATGGAGGAAGATAAATACTGTAAGACTTCACTCATACGTGGAATTTAAAAAAACAAACAAACCAAAATAAATCAACAAACTAAATCAAACAAAAACAATTACAAAGATACAGAGAACAGAGTAGTGGTTACCAGAGGGGAGGGTTAAATGGGTGATGGGGTCAAGGGGGTCTGCTGTGTGGTAACAAACGGAAACTAAATATACAGTGGTGAGCACACTGAACTACATACAGAAATAGAACTATAGTGTTGTACACAGGAAACACACAATGTTATAAACCAATGTCACCTCAATACAAATAAATCCCAAAACAATAAAATGATAAGGTTTCTAGGAGAAAAAAAATATTGAAGAGTATCTCTGCAACACGGGAATAAAAAAAGGCTTTTAGGTAGCACACGAAAATTAATAACTATACAAAATACAGGTAATTAGACTCCATCAAATTTAAAACTAGTTCTCAACAAACTACACATTTAAGCAAATGAATGGGCAACCCATAGACTGGGAGAACATATCTGCATAATAGACATCTGATCCAGGACTTGCACTGCAATATGTACTGGCAAAATCTCCTCCAACTCAATAATAAAAAAGCAAACCACCCAAGTTTTAAAAATCAAGCCAAATATTTGAACAGACATTCAACAAAGGAAGCTATACAAATGACCCACAAGCCCATGGGAAAATGCTTAGCAACCTTAGTCATCAGGTAAATGCAAACAAAACCACAATGAGACAGCGTTACCTCACCACCAGCAAAACAAAAATTTAAAGGGCTGACCACCTCAGAATTAGCAGGTGTGGAAAAACAGAAGTGAGGGAGATAAAATGATGCAATCACTTTGGAAAAGGCTCTGATAGTGTCTTATAAAACTAAAATTATTAGTACATTATGAGCCAGCAATTCTACTCCTAGGTATTTACACAAGAGGCTGAAAGCGTATGTCCAGTGAAAGTTACATGTGAGAAGCATGCTTGTTCATAATAGCCCCAAAGTGGATAAAGCTCAGGTGTCCATCTACAAAGGAATGGATCAACATACCGTGCTACACTGGTACAATGGAATAGAATTGGAATACTACTTATCAGTAAAAACGGAATGGTTTAACCGACACACTCAAACACATGAATGAATCTAAAAAGGATCGCATGTGCATACTGTATCAAGGAGGAGAAGAGAGTTTGCCTGTAGGGATGGGAAAAGGGACTGACTGGGCAGGGGAATCAAAAGCCTTTGAAGATCTGAAACGATGGTATTGTTCTATATCTTGACAGGGGCTTGGATTACACAAAGGTATATGTTCATCAAAACTCATCAGTGGTAGGATGCATGCTTAGCATGCACAAGGTCCTGGATTCACTCCTCGGTATCTCCACTAAAAATAAATTAAAAAATAAAAAAACCTAATTACCATCCCAAAATAAATAAATAAATAAAATATAATTTAAAAACATCTCATCAAATGGTATACAAAAAGTGGCGCATTTCACTGTCCATGAATTTTATCACAAGGAAAAAGTTAAACAAGTATCAAACTCTAGTCAGTGATATGTAACCCTAAGTGCTTAGGTAAAGCATATTGAGATCTGCAGCTTTAAAATGCACCATGAAAGTAATGAAGAAGAATTGATGGATAGATGAGTGGATATCGGATAGTACCTGAAGAAGCTAATACAGCTAAATGTTCACTGTAGACCCTATGTGGTAGTTATTGGTGCGTTCACAGTATAATTATTTCCATTTTTCTGTTCGCTTGGAATTTTTCATAATAAAAAGTTGGGAACAAAACGTTTTTGCTGCTCAGTTGGCCCCAGATAAAATAACCCAAGGTGGGGCTTGTAGATGTGAAAAGCAGCATTTTGTGTGTGTTTGTGCGGACTGATTATAAATACTGCATCCCAGAGACATTTTGTTTTTAATTGTTGATAATGTCATTGCTGCTCTGTCTCAACAGAGTTGTCTTGTGAGCCTGGGGAGCTCTTCTGTACCTCATCACACAACACAACATCAGTTTGATCAAACCTGGTTTTTGAGACATTCCCCACAATATTTTATGTCAAACTGCTAGTTGAATATCTAGAAAAAAAGTATGTTGGTCACAGATTTATATCCCCAGAGTTATGTTACAGGGCTTTAGAAATATTCAGGAAGAAATGTTGTCATTTATCTGCTTTCAAGCTATATTAAAAATAAATACATCATTATTTAACTATGTTCCTCAGAATTATTTCTCTTGAAATTATTTCTTGCTTTCACCATATTTTAACAGCAAGAAAGTCTGAGTGTGGTCTTGTGATTTCATTTAATTTGCTGTATTCTACCCTAGAATTAAATGAAAAGACGTTATCTTCTACCTTGGGGGTTGGAAACTAGCACAAAGAAACCAATCATAGCAAAGGAGGAGAAAGGTATTCAGAAGGGCTGTTCGACGAAGTAGAGATTTTTCCTCCACCTTTTAACTATATTTCTCTTAGTTTTTTAAAAAAAAATCTTCAGGAAGAACAGTAAGTGAATTTCATAGCTCTGGTGGTAGAATATATTACTGGTCCATATGGACTAATAAAAAGATAGTTTCGTTTAGAGATTAAAAAGTATAAGGATTTTGTAAAAAAACTTACCAGCAGTATTCCTGTCCCTGAGAGAGGCTAGGCAGAAACCCATGAGGCTGATTCACACAGAGGCTTCAGTGTCTTGGGGTCAGGACGGGACAGGCTGCAGCCGTTAATAAACATTTCACTGAACTCTACCAGGCAGTGAAAACGTAGGTGCTTCCTGAGGCCACTTCATTAAGGAAAGTTTAGTAATCTCCTAGCTGGAGTAGGATTTGTCCAAGGAGAAGCTGTACCTCTAAAAGAAAGGGGGAAAAAAAACTTATGAAGTATCAAAAAGGAAACAGTGTGAATAAAATTCAGTTATTTATTTACCATCTGTGTCACACCCTCCTGCAAATATTGCCAACATACATAGCTCTGAGCCAGCAGAGCGGGTCCTCAACTGACACGCATGGAGGTTCAACAGGTGGTTTATGGGAGTGACGTGGCTGAACACAGGTCAATTTCTATAGCCTTCTTTAAGGATTAGCCGGGCTGAACAAATATGAGTTTGGTGAAAAATTAACCACTTTTCAACCACTGTTTATCTTGAGACTTTACAATTAGTTGTCAGCTTGTCTTGGGTTTTTTGGGGTTTTTAAAAATTTTTTTTAATGGAGGTACTGGAGATTGAACCCAGGACCTCATGTCTGCTAAGCATGGGCTCTACCACCGAGCTATTCCCCACCCTCTAGCTTGTCTTGTTTTTTATCCTTGCATTTTAAGTAGCCCCCTCTTTTTTTTTTTTGATGTTTACTTCCCTAGATTATCTCATTCCTTTACTTTCTCTTATTCATTATTTTTTTTACCCTAAAAGCATTAATTCATAAATTAATGCAGTAAGAGCAATACTTCTGGGAAGACTTTAGCACTATTAAATGTTCCCCTTCTGAGGCCTTTGAATGGAGGGAGTTATTACAAGGGGCTGCTAAATTTACATGTCTGCTGTATGAAAGTCTGCGATCTCTCCCAAAATGCAAGAAATACCACACTGATGTCTGAAAGAACAGGGGACATTGAGACAGGGAAGCTCCAAGCCCTGTCACAGGCCATGTTCCACGGGGTTCTAATTCAGCCTCCCCGCTCCTCAACAGCACTTCCATGACAAGAATCCCCAGCAAGTTAGGAGTGGAAGGAATCGTCCTCAACCTGATAACAGGTATTTATAGAAACCTAGAGTAATCCTTATCCTTAAAGGTGAAACACTGAATGCTATTCTCCTAAGGCAGTCTAGCCACTTTTGACATTACACTGGAGGTTCTAGCCAGGGCACAGTGTGCCTTTCATAACACTTCCACATAGAAATTTCCTTCTTTCAGACATATAAATGGCCAACAGGCACGTGAAAAAATGCTTGGTATCGCTAATTATCAGAGAAACGCAGATCAAAACTACAATGAGATATCACCCCATACCAGTCAGAATGGCCATCATTCAAAAGTCCATGAATGATAAACCCTGGAGAGAGTGTGGGGAAAAGGGAACCCTCCTACACTGCTGGTGGGAATGCAGTATGGTGCAGCCATTATGGAAAACAGTATGGAGATTCCTCAAAGGACTGAAAATAGACTTACCATATGATCCAGCAATCTCACTCCTGGGCATATATCCAGAGGGAACCTTAATTCAAAAAGATACTTGCACCCCAATGTTCACAGCAGCACTATTTACAATAGCCAAGACATGTAAACAACCTAGATGTCCACTGACAGACGACTGGATAAAGAAGATGTGGTACATTTATACAACAGAATACTACTCAGCCATAAAAAGGATAAAATAATGCCATTTGCAGCAACATGGATGGACCTGGAGAAGGTCATTCTAAGTGAAGTAAGCCAGAAAGAGAAAGAAAAATACCATATGAGATCACTTAAATATGGAATCAAATGAAAAGATAAATGAACTTTTACAAAACAGAAACAGACTCACAGACATAGAAAACAAACTTACGGTTACCAGGGAGAAATGAGGTGGGAAGGGATAAATTGTAAGTTCGAGATTTGTGGATACGAACTACTATATATAAAATAGATAAACAAATTTCTACTGTATAGCGCAGGGAACTATGTTCAGTGTCTTGGAGTAACCTATAATGAAAAAGAATCTGAAAAGGAATATATGTATGTATATGTATGACTAAAACATTATGCTGTGCACCAGAAATTGACACATTGTAAACTGACTGCAGTTCAATTAAAAAAAAAGGAAAAAATTTCCTTTTTTTGCTGAAGCATTCCAGAATCAAGGGACACACAACTTCTGGAAGTAGTCTGTTCCATTTTTGTAGAGTTCCATTAGAAAAGATCAATTTACATTAAATCAAATTTAATTTCCCTGAAATTTCTTCCAACAGTGCTTATTTTTGTCATTTTAGGCACATGGAACGTTCCTACTTCCTCTTCCACCTGGAGCACTTGGGCTATTTGAGGACAGCTTCCATTCCATCTGAGACTTCAGTTTGCTAGTTCTTTTCCCTGCTTTGCCCTCTGTCATGAGCTGAAATCCCCTGAATCCTGGCTGTGTTCATGTAAGTCATTTCTGGTCTGTCAGTGTCCTTCTAGGAAGTGTGGAGTCCAGGGGGTCGGCATCTACAGAAGTCCTGCCCTGCACACAGCAGAACAGGGGTGTTGCCTCTGCATTCTGGGTGATGATCTCTCCATACACAGAAGCAGCATCCCCACTGCGAGCTGACATCCCCGAGCCGCTCTTACACCTCCTGCAGATAAACCAGACCTTCCAGACCCTGCACTAGTGAAGACGGTTTCTTTGAAAATAGGTATGAGTCTTTACGTTTCTTTCTCTCAAATTTCATTTTGCTAGCTTTCACACAATGTCAGGGCCATCTAATTCTGTCATATAACGTACATCATCTCTCACGGCTTTGTGTCTTTCAGTTTTGATAAGCATATCCTTTTCTGTGTCTAGTTGTTGGTAAAACTCTTGAAAATCATGGGCTGAAGACAGCACTTGAAATCTGCGAAATGATGCAAATCTATTAATCAGTATTCTGTGGTTATGTTGTTCAACCAACCACTAATCCTCGAAGCGACATTGCATCCACTCACACTTCTCTGTTTAATTGGAGAGCATTATGAGGACACTGTCGAGGACTTGCTGGCTGCCAGTTACACTCTTTTGCTAATTGCTCTGAATTAACTCTGGGAAAGAAGGTTGGTCCAGGACCATTGCACTGTGGTCTGACCAGAATTTTCTCTTCTAGGGGTTGATACTTGTTCCCTTTAATAGTGAACCTGTTGCCGAAAGATCACCCCCTGTCCCTGACGAGCCACATAACCCAGAGACAAGGTCTTGGAGCTTAGAAGAAAAGAGGCAATTTTATTGCCTTGCTGGGCAAAGGGGACTCCCAGCAGGCTGGTGCCTTCAGAACTGTGACCCCACCCTGGAGATGGGGTGGGTAGTTATCTAGCCATAGCTCAAACAATAAAGCATTGATAACAAGCAGCAGAATCATTTTCTCATCAGAAGACTTAGAATGGCAACATGATGCCTCCAGGCGACCAGTTCTACAGAGGCCAGCGGTTAGATCTCTTTATCTCATAAGCACTCAAGGTGTGGTCTTCTTGGTAATTCAGACTATTTTGTAAGGTTAAAGTCCTGTGAACTTCTCCCTTGAGATCTCTCCCTGGAGATCGACTCCAAAGACCAAGCATGATTATAGCTTCTGATTACTGGAATAAAGTAGAAACAGTAAGATCAGTAGCTTTAGTTTTAACAGTGGGCCTGGAGCTGTGAGTAGCAACCGGTCAGTCAGGCCAGGTGACCGTTTTAAGGGCAAGCATAGGAATAAGCCATCTGTTAGCCTAAGTGCAGCCACTTTATTAATCCTCCTTCAAACTCTCCCTCGAGATGTGGTACTTCTGGCGTCTGATGAGATGAGGATGTAGGTTGTGGAGCAAACCATGACCTTTTTCAGAGTAGAGAACGTTTGGTAGTTTGGGTTTTCCCAAGGTATTTAAGTAGGGTTCTAGATTTGGAACCTAAAGAGATTATTTGGTTCTGTGAACATCTCAGTTTTATTTCAAGGCAAATTCTACTTTAGCATATATGGTGTAGATAAGATGTACATAAAGATTAGTCCTGTAACATTAAGACCCGAAAGTGACACAGAGAACATTTTCTTTTGATATGGACTTTGTTTTTAATATGCATTTTATATTAAGGTTTAAAATTCAAAAGGTTCAAAAGGGAACGCAAAATTCTTGCTCTCATTCTTGTTTTTTAGGCATTTATTTATCTCACTAAAGACCACCAACTTCAACTCATACAATCAAATATGCAGAAATACTCTGCTTTATTTTTACTACAAGTAAGTAGATTACTACATACATTTTACTGTATTTTGATTTTTCCATTTAATATATCTTGGGGATTATTCTAAGATAAATATATTTTTAAAATAAAGTTATGAGGGTTTGTTCTTTTATTTTTATTTTTAAATTATTTTTAATTCTTGATAATTGAGAAATTAAAACATATACACAGACAGATACCAATATACCCGCTGTTCAGCTTCAGTAATGATTAACTCTAGGTGAGTTATCAACTCAAAGCAATTATCAACTCCATTCTTTATGATTTTTTAAAATTTGAATTTTTACATGTGAATTTTTTAAAAATACGGTATTGTATTAATATGTACAACATAGTGATTCAATATTTTTATACATTATGAAATGATCACCACAAAACGTCCAGCTACCATCTGTCACCACTCAAAGCTGTCCCAGTATTACTGACGATTCTCTATGTGTACATTACTTCCCCGTGATTTATTTATTACATAACTGGAAATTTTCAGCTCTTGATCCCCTTCACCTGTTTCATCTGTCCCCACCCGCCCCTCTGGCAACCACCCGTTTATTCTCTGTATCTGTGAATCTGTTTCTGGTTTTCTTGCTTTGTTTTTAGATTCCACCTAGAAGTGAAATCATGGGGTTTTCATCTTTCTCTGTCTGATTTATTTCATTTAGCATAACAGTGGGTTTGATATTTTATAATACTATATCAAAATAATTTTTTCCTGTCCTGTATTTTTTTATTTTCACATTAAAATACTATTAAATACTACATTAAAGTCAAATTATTTAAAAAGTTAACATAGACCACTAGGTGGTGCTGTCATCACAAAGAAATGAAATACATAGTATTTTAAAAATAATTTGCACATGGTAAGGAAAAAACCCAACTACTAAAAAAAGTACAAAGTAAAAAAATGTGGGCTAAACTTCTAATTCTACTATTCTACAAAGGTAGTCGCTGATAACATGGAGATTTTCTCTTTTCCCAGTTATTTTACCCATATTAGTATACCTCTATATTAATTTTTCAATTATTAATATATTCTTTAATAAAAAATTTATCTCATCCA